TAAAGGGAATAACATAAAGAACCTACAACACATTCATACAGCTTTAGGACACCGGGATAAGCAGGGTGCTTTAGACTTGACATGAAAAGTAAACCTACAGAAGAAATATTAGACTTCATGAAAATTAAAACCTTCTCTCAGAAAAAGATCATGTGAAGAACAAAGAAAGGTACAGGCTAGGAGAATATACTGGCAAAAAGCATGGCAGAGAAAGAACTAATATCCAGTCTGTATAAAGAACTCTTAATACTCAACAGCTAAAAAAAGAAAAAAATTCCACTTAGTGGACAAAATGTGTAGAAAGATAAATAAGAAGAGAATATACAGGTGATAGATATTACTACAGCCCTGCTAGAATGGCAAAAATAATGATAATGCTAATGCTGCTGAGGATGCACAGAACTTGGTCACTTATATGCTCTGGTAAGAATGGAAAATGATACAGTCACTCTGGAAAACACATTCATAGTCATATAAAATTAAACATGCAATTATAAGATGACCTAGGAAGCATACTCTGAGGATTTATCCTAAAGTAATAACTTATTTTCACGTAAAAATTTGCACACAAATGTTCACAATAGTTTTATTTACAATAGCCCCAAATTGTCCCAAACTGAAAACAAGGCAGATACCCTTCAGTCAGCGAATGGATAAGCACACTGTGGTTGGTGTTGGCAATAAAAAGGAACATACACACAACAACCTGGTAGAACTCTGGAATTACGTGGAATTAAAAATAGCCAGTCTTACCTGGTTATATACTGCACAATTTCATTTATACAAAGTTCCTGAAATGACAAAACTATAGAACTGGGGACCATGAGCAGTTGCCAGGGGCCAGGGTCATATGTAGAAGTGGACATAAAAGGAAAAAGGTGGCACTGTCCTTCCAGCTGATGAAACTGTTCTGCATCTTGATTTTACCAATGTCAAAATCTTGGCTGGATACATAAATACCCATGTATTATTCCTCTGTATTACTACTCTGTATTATTTCCTACAACTACATATGAATATGTAGCTATCTCTAGATTTTAGTTAAAAATATATTTAAAACAAAACACCAAAACACCAGGCAGGCTACTGTTATCTAGTAAAAGCCAAGGTCAAGACAGGGCAAGGAGTAAGGAGTATTGTTGTAACCTGGTAGAAAATGGTCCTGTGTGGAAAAGACAGCTGAGCTAGGCATGGTTGGGACACCGGTGAAGACAAGGAAGACTAAGGAAGTAGAGATATTGAAAATAGTAAGAGCCAAGCTTAACTTTCTTGGAGAAGGACATTATAAAAAGGAGAAAGGAATAATGGTAGAATATTGGATTCTAACTGCATGTAACAATATGAACTCATATCAGTAAGCTACATATGAAAGTGGGTAGATACATACCTGTGTGTATAAACCCATATGCCCTACTTTTGTCCCACGAGAGGTCTTGGGAACCTTGACATGCCAGGACTAAGAAGTCAGCACTCCCAAATCTGGGTTCTAAGCACTACCATTCATCAGAGCACCTTGTAGACACAGCTGATTTCAGGGCCAGAGCAGGGAAAGAGCAAAATGAGCTGGAAGACCCTGCTGTGCCAGAGTGAGGAATGCAGAAATGGGGAGCACGTCAGAGGACACAGAAGACATCTGGAAGGAGCTCTTACTGGCCACACAGGGAACAAGGGAAGAATCAAAACACATGATGAGAAGACTCTCTTCTATTGAACAAAAAAGCACTCTATGCTGAAATAAGTAACGGAACAAATGAATGAGAAAATTCTTCCATACAGCAGAATGCTACCTAATAAATGCAGAAGAAATGATGGAATTAGAACATTTCCATTTAGCTATTATCACTGTAATCATTAACTCAGGAAAGAAATATAAATAGATGCTAAAAGCGCTGTGTCAGAGTTCGATGTAGAAGAGAATATGTGGCTCCAATGCATCTTTCCATAATATATTAACCATGAAGAGAAAAAGAATAACATAATGGGTAAAGTTTAGGGTAACTGATGTGATCAAACTACATTTTCAATGATGTGGAAAATTCCATCTTCTGCCAAGTAGAGGCACGCAGTGAGAAAAGCAGAGTCAACTCAGTGATGTTTCTACCAGAACTGTGTAACTACGGGACATGCTACAGAAGAACCAGTCTGAAAACTTACAGAACATCAAGATCATCAAGGGCAAGAAAGGACTAAGGACCTTGGAAGACTGAAAAAACTATGATATTTTATTGGGACAGTTGTCAAACTTTGAATGGAGGTTTACGGGTGAATAGAAGATAGGAGATTTTTGTGTGTGCTTTTCTTATAACTCTTTTATAAGTTTGAAGTTATTTCAAAACAAAAAATTACCATCACAAAAAGTAGACTGGATAAGGATCTTGATGGAGGAATATTTTACAACCTATGAAACATGTTTGCCAATTAAAAGAAATCTTAATTGACTCTATATGCATCTATTAATATACTGAAAATACCATGTAGACAGAATCAGCAAAATATGGATGGTGGCAAAATATACAAGACCAAAACTCAGATTTCTTCAACTAATAAACTAAGGAAAACAAGAGATCAGAAACAAGTTTAAGAAACTTGAGCTGTATAGCACACAATGACAATATATTGAGATTGTTTGGGTCCCAGTATAAATGTTGTGTATAAATATAACTGATAAAATAGGAGATGATTAGAAATTTGAACATTTTAGATATTTGATGACATTAAACAATTATTAATAATTATTTTGGTTATGGTAAAGACAATATGGTTATTTAATGAATAACATAACAGAGTGCCTTTAGTTAGCTCCAAAGTAATCTGATGCAGGGGAAATGAGGGACCGTTAAGGAAAGGTGACGCTATGTGATTGAGAGATGCTACATGTGGAGATGGTACACATGGGAAAGATGATAAATGGGGATGTGGAGATCTTTATTTTACTCTATGTATTTTGTGAATAACAAAAATGGTTTGCTTATTTTGTTCTTTTTTCTTTACTTTCAAATAGTAAAACCAAGATTTAAATCTAGGTCTGTCGCATTTCAAATCTAGTTCCTGATGATTTTCTATTTCCTGTAAAAATAAATATTTAAGCATCCTATTGACAAGTTTTTCCATGAATTCATTAGACAACATTTTAAAAAACTACTTCCCATGCTAAAACCTAATGAAGTACAACTATTCTATAGATAAGATACACTTTAAGAAAGACATGAAATATGTTTTATTTTTTCAATGACTTCCTAATTAGAAATTAGCTGCATTTACACAATAAGAGAAATTTTTATTGAAAAAAGATATTTTTGGGAAAGGTAAACATCAGCATACCTAGTGGATCACAAAGGAGGTAGCAGAAACTTTGTAGGGGCATTTGGAAATGTGTAGGGTTTTTCTGGCTACCTTTGGAACTTGGAGACAGCACTGGACCAGGGGGCAGAGTGTGTGTGTGTGTGTGTGTGTGTGTGTGTGTATGTGTGGGCACTAAATGCCATCAGCACTCAGGGCCCTCTTATACAATGAAGAGTTGTCCCATCCCAAAAGCCAAAAGAATCTCTGCCGAAAAACATTAAGAAAGAGGTAACATTCTGACAGAAGAAGCAGGGACAAAGGTTTGTCAGACTATTGAAACTCCTTGGTTCAGTATGGCTTAGGAGAAAAGAATATTCTACCAGGGAAACAGCAAGTAGACATTACTGTTTAAGAGCACTTCTCTCTAAGGCCAGGAAAACTAACAGTAAATCTGGCCCCTAAATGCAGTCCACAAATGGCAGCTACCAGATGTATTAGTTTCCCTAGAGTCAGACACAGCAGACAGATGGAAGAGGATCTACAAAGATCTGTCACTTAGGCAAGTTCAACACTGGATGAAAGACAGCTCCTCCTGGTGGAGTGGCCAGATTTCAACAAGCACAAAAGTAACTGAGAACAAACTGTTCCCAGTGAGCCCTGAACTATAATCCCTTTAGTTAGACTCTTCCTGTTCTAGTCTCCCATTATATAATCCATACCTTGGGAAGAAATACTGCAAAGTTCCTACACAGGAGGACTAAAAGAACTCAGGCAAAACCCAGGCTGGAGAGTTAGAAAATAATGCCAGCAGAGCATCACCAAGTGATCACTCAACATTTCTCCTGGCTAACAAGAGTGGCAGCACAAGGTCAATGACAGAGTTTGGATCCAAACTGTCCCATGAAAGGTCATGTACTTACTATAGGCTTGGGTGTCAACTGGGGTTGCTCCTGGAAAGTGGTGGAACCATTAGCAGGTAGTGCCTAGCGGAAAGTAGTTAGCCATGGACTCCTTGAGGTGAGCAGTTTCCTCTGCCATAAGGTACTGCCTCACCAGAGATGAGGCAAGAGGCCAACTGACCATGGACTGAAACCTCTGTAACCAGGAGCCAAAATAAACCTTTCTGCTTTAGGGTGATTGTCTCAGGTACCTAGTCACAGGGACAGAAACCTGACCAATAGCCAACAAGGAATCAGGGCACCTCCCAGCTCAGAAATGCAATGCAGTGAAGAGTAAGTGAGGCGGTAGGAGTCCAAGTTACAGCATACTTCTTTGCATGAGGTGCAGGAGAAAAATCAAAACCGTGTGGGAAGGTGACATAAGAGTGGAAATAACACGGGGAGAAGGAGGGCTCCAGTGCTCTGAATGTGCTTCGTAAGTGGCACTTGCAAGAAACCGGAGGAGGAAGAAATGAATGGTTGATTCACAAGTAGGCGTTTGATGATAGGAGCAAAGGCATAATCTTGGTCTGAGATAATAATGCAGGAGACAAACACGTTTGAAACTTCCCTTCTAAAAAGGCCACGATCATTATTCAGGGTTTTGAATCTTAATAGGCCAAAGCGGTAAGGCAGAAATCAACAAAAGGCCTTAATAACACCTGGATCTTAGCATTGCCAATGAAGAATTAAACCTTAGCTTTCAGAGTCATTCACACCCTTACTTGTATTAAATAATAGGTGGCACAAAGAGATAAAACTACATTAAAGAGATATTACCTGTCATGTTTGCAGCAGACCCACTGTTATTCACCAACGTGGAATATGGTTGTTCATTGTGAGGCACGACTCCGGCAGCCATGGTAATCTGTTGGGAGAAAGGAAGCGACTGTTTTTGAAAGTTTGGCTTGGGATATTCATTTACTGATCACCTACAACGTGCTAGGCCTCTGCTGTCCAGTACAGCATCCTTAGTTAAGTGGCTACTGATACTTCAAATGGGACTAGACCAGGTTGACACATGGGGATTCTGAAGACTTAGTACAAAAAAAATACAACATCTCACCAGTAGTTTTTAAAGTGATCACACATTAAAATATTTTTGATATATGGATTAAATATATTACAAAAATTAACTTCCTAGTTCATTCTAAAACTTTTATTTATGTATTCTGCAGTACTGGAGATTGAAAAAGGCCCTTTTCCCTGAGGTACATCAAGTCATATTTATGTATTTTTGGAGACAAGGTCTCACTAAATTGCTCAGATTAGACCTGAACTCATGATCCTCCGTCAGCCTCCCAGAGTTCCTGGTTCTGGGCATGTGCCACCATGTGTAGCTTTTTAAAAATTTTTAATGTTGCCACTAGAAAACCTAAAATTCAGTATGTGGCTCACGTGAGTTAGGTACTAAGGACATTAGAGAGAAACATGAGAGATATTCTCCTTTGTGCATTTATAGTCTACTGGAAGACAAGACATGGACACAAACAATGCTAACTGTGCAAAGTGTCATAAGAGGGTTCAGACAAGTGAGAGGGCTGTTCAACATGAAGGAGAACACGACTTCAAGGAGGAAACAGCATTTGTTCCAGGCTCAAAGAGAAATATTTATTGTGAACAGGATGGAATATTAGGCAAATGAACAGAATCTTTTATTCTAATGAAGAGAACTGTTTCAAGTGATGGTTCACTGCATTTATAGGACATTAATCTGTAATTGTCAGCCTTTATCTAGCTCATGTCTTCATCTAGCTCTGGCTGAATCATACAGCTAAGGGACTGCTGTGTTGCTCAAGTGCCATGGTCTCCATTGAGGAAAATTATGCAAACTTTTTGGTATGTCAAAAAAATTATCACCTCTCTTTAACGCTTAGTAAATGCTATGCACAAATATCAAATCACTTTTTTCTTAGGAGAACTCTACAAAATAGCTATTATTAGTTACTTAAAAACTGAAATGCACAATACTAGACTAAGTTTCTTTAGTCTATTCTTATTTACTCACTTATCCTAAAGCCCACTGAAAACATGGTTATTCAAAAATGCTTGTTAAGCTGAATGTGGTAGTGCCTGCTGTTAATTCCAGGCTCAGGCATGAAGCATGACCATGAGTTTAAGGCCAGGTTGGGCCAGCCTGGGAGTTCAAGGGCAGCCTGAACCACTCAGTGAGAGTTTCTCTCAAAGAAACAAAGAAGTAAGCGAAGATCCTTGTTAATTGTACCTTTGAGTCACAAAGAACAGGAGTATGACTGTGAGGTATCTTAAATATTTCTATGTGGTGGTGATGGTGATGGTGCACACATAATCCTATCACTCTGGGAGGCTGAGGCAGTAGAATCCAAGTTTGGACCCAGTCTGGACCACTTAGCAAGACCCAGTCTCAAAATAAAAAATAAAATGGCTGGCTATGTAGCTCAGTATGAAGGCCCTGGATTCAATCTACAGCACTGAAGAAAAATCTCTCTAACCAGCTCCCTTCCAAACTCAAAGTTGTAAGGAACTTTAAAAGATCTTTGCAGGAATCCCAATCAAATGTACATGCCCTCTTTACAAGATACTTGTTTGAACACTAAGTGACATCATTACACAGATCTGGTAGCTAGAAAGCTGTTTATAATGCTGCCACTCTCTAACTGCTACCCACTCATCCTATATCTGCCTACACAGATCAATACACACTTTCCTGCATAGCTCTACAGCTGACAATCCTGTTCCCCTCTCTCCTGATTTCTATGCTCCTGAGCAATGCATCAGTGACTCCCTTAACTCTTCTAACATAGAGTGCTCTGGATGTCCCCACCAGCCTGGATGCCCTTTCCTAGTCACATTCTATGGTTGTTAATATTCTGCTCAGAGCCCAAAGGGACAGAAACAGTCACTTCCTGTGTTGGGACAGTGTACGTTCCTATCACCACATTAGTATTTCAGTGGACTCGAGACATATTAGGATACATCAAAAATCAAAGAAAACTCCTGGCTGAAATGATATGCAATACTTATTTTAAAAACAGATATTCACTAAACATATATAAAAGCTTAAATAAATAGTACAAAATGAAAAGTAAAGTCTCTATCTCAGTCCTCCATGATAAGTTTTACTTCCCAGATATAAACAATTTAAATATTTCTTTTACTTATTCTGGAGGGCAATCAGAACACTTAATTATCTGGTCCTTATTTGTTGTTTGTTTTATGAAATAGGACTCAAATTCCTGGTGATACTCCTGCCTCAGCTGCCTGAGTGCTGGGATTACAGACATATAGCCAGATCTCTGATTCTTATACTATCATGTCTAAACCCTAAAACTGAATTCCTGATACAAGACATAAGAAAACTATTTCATTTACCTCCCTTCCAGGGTAAACCTTCTCCCAATTAAGGCATCAAAGATGATTCTTTATATGATTTAAAATAACATCTTTTAACCATTTCTTCTCCTATGAACTTTGAAAAATATGTTGATTCCCTCTATGTAAAATAAGTCAACCAGTTTACCTGTCTACTCTCCCTTCCCCTGTATTTTCAAGTTCTGCTAAGTATGCCATTTCCATTATATCAAGATTTTGAACATTTAAGTATCAGTTAACCTATCATTTACTTTCTTATGCTGTCTATAGGTTTATTCAAAAATATGATACAATACAGTGTAATTACATACCTGTATGATGAAGAAGTTGGATGATTATAGCTATGTGGTAATCTGTACACACACACTTTATTTTAACCAAGTACAACACTAGGCAAATACTGAAAAAAGTATCTGTAATCTTGTATCACCAAACCTGTGCTGATCAAAGTAAAACAACTCAAGCTTTGGTGTGAAATGAATTTTCTTTTATCCTATCAGTTGTTTAAACAGGCATATTTTCTTTTATTGCCAATTTGGACAGTACATTTCTTCTCAACACTTCTCACTGGATTATAATCACCTTTCTCCTACTGAGAAAAATAGTAAATCATCACCACATATCTACAATCTTTTAACTTTTTATTATACCAACTACCTATCTTTTGAAGGTTTTTTCCGTATGCTCTCTGGATTCCTTTTCTACTAGCACCAGGGCTTCCTAGGCCCCCTATATACTTTTCAGTCCAGGACTTCTTTTATTCCCATTCCTGAGTTGAGGTCATTTTTTCTTGGCTTCTGCTGGCTTCAAATAATTTTTTCTTAGAGAATGAATGGAAGGTAAACTATCTATATCATTTTATTCTGAAAACATCTTTGTATTATCCACATATGATGTTGATAATTTAGCTATTTACAGAATTCCCGGTTGAAAGCTACGCATGTCAGAATTGTAAAAATATTGTGCTGTTGTGTTCCAGCAAACAATATTGATGAGAAGTCTGATGCCCACTGGTAGCAGATAAGCAGTAAATTTTTCTCTGAGGGGTTCTGAAATTGTGCAATGATGTGTATTAGAATCTTTTGATCCTCAGTTTCCCTTTTTCTTCAGTAGCCAGAAGTGATTGTACACAATATGCCATGACTTACTGTAAATGGCTTACGTTACAAGATCCATGTCATTCTCACAGAAACACTGTGAGGTACTGTGTGTTTTAATCACTCCACTGTCTTAGGTAGGAAACTTCATGGGTCTAGTTTGCAGACTGATGCTCTTAACATCAATCCACTGTGCCCCTCAAACAGATTACATCAATTCACATAAATTAGTAAAAGGAGTATCTTTTGTCTTACCCTTATTAGTGGTGGGCTTTTTAAATATTAGCACAGCTGTCTCATTATTCCTTTACTTTGCAGTTCTTTATTAGTGAAATGGAATTTTCCAGAGGTTTTTTCTTGTGAGATTCCCATTAATAGAGTAACCATTCAGGGTTCTACTGCTTTTCTTTTGTTCCTCATATATGTCAACTCTTTTAAATATCATTATCCAATTCATATCATGTATGTCAGTTTTGTATCATGTGTGTAGCAAATTTTTTTTAAAAATCAGTTTATTTTATATCAATTATTATTGTAGTTTGGGGTTTTGCAAGGGGAACAGTACAGGACACATAATTTATAGAATTATTTTACAATAGTCACCCAAAGAATCATAGACAAAAAGAGTGCAGGAAATCTGTCCACACACTAAAGACCAAAGAATCCAGCTGAGGGTCTGGATGCCACAGTAATATCCTGCATGAGTCCAGCTGAAGACCCAGAGCCCATAACAATGACCCCCACTGTTATGGCAAAATTCAGTGAGAAAGTACTCATGAGAGACTTAATGTAGGAACAGAGCTTTATTAAAGCTGGCAATCAACAGTTTCCAACTAGGTTCCAGAAAAAATGTTGGCCCCAGTTGGACTTTACTTCCAGTTTAAATACCTTTGAGGTTTCCATGGTATCCACATCATTACATTACCTCATTTTTGGGACTTTTACAAGAATGCCATATAATTGTCACATGGTTTATCTTTTCCCAGAAGCTGCCGGTCATGGTCATGCACCAGCTAGGTGACGTTGTGGTTAAATATTGAGCCTACTTCCCAATTTGTTCTATTTGTTCCCATTTTTATAGCCTTGTTTTTGTTTTTCTTCAATGGATTTTATGGTCAGCTACAAGTGAGGGGGTTAAGGAGTGAGTTCCTCTACACTTTAAGTGACCTTAAGTGACTTCTTTTAAAATGCATTTACTAAAAGAAAATGGAGTCTCTCTTACCATATCACCAAGAGTTCAACTAGAGGCCAAGAGTCCATGACAATGTCTCATGTGGGCCTCTTTCATGGATCTGTGCTGGAAAGGCCCAAAGGTTAGTGGTGGAAGTTAAAAAGTCTGTGCCAGTGGGATGAAGCATCTGTGCTAGAGGCTGAGGGATCTGTACTGCAGCCAGGAAGTGATGCTCAAAGTAAGAACCAG